ACTGAAAGTGCTGCTAATTAATCACTGTAGTATTAGTAATAATAGAAGAAGTAGTTTACAAGTTAAACTGAAAGTGCTGCTAATTAATCACTGTAGTATTAGTAATAATAGAAGAGGTAGTGTACAAGTTGAACTGAAAGTGCTGCTAGTTAATCAGTGTAGTATCAGTAATAATAGAAGAAGTAGTGTACAAGTTAAACTAAAAATACTGCTAAATAATTAGAGCAGTAGCAGTAATGGAAGAAGCCTAACTGAATCCAAGAAGCTTTACTGTAAACTGTAGGTGACAAAACGAAATGATAGAAAAATGAAAGACACGGGCAAGCAACGTTGCCATTTAAAAGTTTTTTTAATATTTAATGTGTATTTATATGTCTTGAATCTCTTTTTTGCTAGTGTTCAAACCTGAAAAAGAAAAAAAATTAACATTTAATTTCTGATCAATCACTTTGCATGTCCAAGTTGTATAAAATGTAACACAAGAGATTTCTGTAAATAATGTAAGCTTTTTTAATTCTTTTGATGAAATTAAATATCTCTTCGTATAATTTCTAAACTAGACTTCAGTCGCAAGTGGCAAGAAATGTTTGAGGTATAAAAGGAAAAAGTGAAGCTACATTAACAAAAATTATTTATTACAGAGTAATTGATTATGAACCAGTAGTCTAAATAGTTCGTAGCAAGGTAATTCAACAACGACAGCACAAATGTTTTGTTTAAATAAAATTTGAATATCGCACATTTCAGTAATTCATACGAGGGTGATACTGGTTAAACCTATTGTTTCTATGAACAATGAGTGCGAACCTATTTCCAGTGAAATTTTACAGGGATCTTTTACCAAAAGTCAGCATAGTCTAGCGGTAGTGCTCATTTGACGATTAAATATAACGGCGGCGTTCCCCCGCCGTCGTTAAATTTAATTGTTAGTTCGCAACTCCAAGGGGCTCAAGCCCCGTTGGTCGGTTTTCTTTTTCCTTTTAATCTTGAAAGAGGCAGAATTTTGATTAATTTTAAGAGCTCCGAGAGTTTTTTTACTAGGAAAAAATTCCCAGAAAAAAAAATTATCGGAGCTCCAAAAATTAACAAATTCTGCCTCTTTCAAGATTAAAAGGAAACAAGAAAACCGACCAACGAGGCTTAAGGCCCTTGGAGTTGCGAACTAACAATTAAATTAAAGGACGGCGGAAGGAAACTACCGTTAGAGTTAACCGTTAAAATTAATGTTCACTACTGCTACACCACGCTGGCTATTTTAAAAACGGTCGAAAAAATGCAGATCATAACAACGCCACTGGTAATAACTATCTCGAGGAAACAGGATAAAACTCATTACAATAAATGGAGAACGAGATCATCTTAAGCTTCACATCTGGTATAAATGGTAGTTAAACGCGGAAATGAATGCTAATCGAAATAGCTTTGGCGAGGATTTACTTTGCGCATTGTTTAGAAAAATCAGTGGTTGTTCAAAAGAGCGCACCGTATAAGATCTTCTGTAACACTCAAAAACATCAAAATATCTGTAATCCTATTGAACTGTAATTGAAGAAAAACAGAGAAAGGAAGTCATTTTCCCGAATACGCAATGAAGAATAGAAATCTAAGACTCTTTTACGCCTCAATAATGCTTTCTTTAGCACTATTCTTTGGTTTTCCGTAAAGTTCCTCGGGAAAAAATATAATTGAATGATAGCTATCAGTTTTGGAATGAAATCTCATCCTAAACAAATTCAATAATTTAAAATTTAAGCATCTTTCTCATCTTCAATTTTAAATCATCTAAATGAGCCTAGGTAGCAGCTACTTTACATGGAAAGCTGACAAACGCAGTTCATAAAATGCATGAACGCAACTAGTTTTTTTGTGGATTGATACAACTTTCAAACTTTTCTACAATAAACTTGAAACTGAAAAGCTATTTCATACAACATGTATCTTGACAATGGTGAAAATTGTTTAACACCTAGAACAGAGCCACGATAAGATTTTTGAAGATTTTAAAGAAAACTATTGCAGGAGATCGATTCTGTTTTAAAATAAATTCCTTCGTCTCCTGAACTGCACTCTTTTCATTCATTTACTTACTCATAAATTATCTTTAACGTTGTTTGATGACACCCGACATATGAAAAGTATACTTGTTGAAAATAACTTGTTTTGGTTTTAAGAGTTCTAGACTCCTGTCAAGGTTTTCGAGTTTGGAGGTATAAACGAATTTTTATCATTCCTCTCTTAATCTATTTTTATTATTTTTTTCATTTACGAATTTTTTTTACACGTAAACTACAACTGTTTCCTTTCCTGGTCATAAAATTTCAGCTCCTATCAGCAAATTACTATTTATTTCTAGAAATAAAATTCATGAGCTAAATACTCGTCCTTCCTGATAAAAAGAGATAAAAATGTACGCTTAAGTTGGAAAACATTTTTCCTCCAAATACAAACACCATTTTCCTTCGAAATTCCAGACCTTCATTAATAAATATTTCTCTCTATTTTTTTTTTCGAAACCTTGACGATAGTCATGGTAAGCGTCAAAGAAGTTAAAGTTAATTTTGCTGCCCAAGTTAAGTCATAAATCTCTCCTTACTTATTCGTTGAAATGCCATAGTATCGAAATAAACATATCATAATCTCTCTCTTTTTAGATCTCTTTTTAAAAACTCCGAACTACAAATTTAAAACGCCCACGACGAACGACAGTTTTTGTCTAATTTTAAAAACCTCAAAGGATAACTCACAACATCAACTCCCCAAAGGTGAATATTAACGCCGGGTCCTATTTTGCTGCGGCGTGCTTGGATGGGGTCTTTTTGGGTAAAATAGGTCGACTATTGAGGGACGAATGAAAGAAATAGTATTTTTCAACAAATGTACATGTATGATTTAGGATCTTCAAAAAAAGAATGAAAATGATATCTTAAAATGTAACCTAAAAAACATCCGAGTCAATAATTTACCCAATTCAAGTCTCGAGGGAGTTCCCAGCTTTATCTTTTGTAAATCATGTGTGCATATGCACGTGAATAAGAGGAAACTTGAAAGACGCAATTCTCTGAAGTATTGTAATGGAACCTGAAATGGGTAAACAGAACAGACGTGCTACAGAGGTATTTTTACTCCATCGGCTCAATAACTGAAAGCAAATATTTTTATACGTGGGTTTCCTCTTTATTCCAATTCTTTGATGACGGTTGGATTACGTGAATTTCTAGATAAAATCTAGTCATTTGAAAGCAACAATGTTTTCTACTGATTTTTTCACTTGAAACGAATTTTAAACTTGAGATTAAAATTTTCTTTTTTTGGTTAATCTTTTCAGTTTTTACTAGGAAAATACAATTCAGTATTAAAGAGATATCAGTGTAGAGTTCAAAGCCTTTCTCTTTCCTGAAGAATGAAATTAATGTTTTAAAGGCACCAATTATCACACATACAAGAAGTTCCTTCCCCTTGCTGAAAGCATTCACAATTTTTATTCCGAGGTTTCCCGTTCCTTCGAACTCGAAAGTTCTATGATAATGGATTATCGCTGAAATAGATTTGGTTTCATGTCGCTGTATAATTTTTGACAATCTGTGCTGCATTGTTAACTCGGAAGAGAGTTGAAAATTTGTGAACTATTTTCAGTAAAAAGTTCCTCTTTCCTCTTAAACATTTCGCTTTCTGCTAGTAAAATAGATTTTAAGTTTAAACACGTACTAGCCATTTTGTAAAAAAAAAACATCTAATTTTAAGGAAAGTAAGTATCTTGTAACGAAAGCCGCACTTTTTCATATAAAGTTGAGAGTTTCGCATTGCACTAAAAATGATGCTCTCTTTCGAGCATTTTACTACGCAACCTGAGTCTTAATAATTGTTGATTTACTTGCTCGAAAGTCTGAGAATATTAATTCTTATTCATTGTTCGGTATTACTTTTTCCGATAAAAAATACTTTCGCTTTAATTGTTTTAGAGACAATTCTAAGTTAAATGGGTTGCTTTTTCCAGTGAAAAATCCTCTTCATACCCTGAAGGTAGAGAGGATAACCTTCATTTGCTGCACAACTTCAAATCTTTCTTTTCTTCTGATTTTGCAAATGGACAACTTTTATTCCCAACGAAACGTGTTTCTTGGTCTCTCTCGTGCTACTCTGTTATAATTTGTCAAACAACAGTTCCATTACATATTTGATCCGCTAAGCAACAAGTGGCGAAAAAGCATAGAAAACGCCGTACAAAATGTCTTTGAATCAACCCGACCATTTGGAAACAATTCAACCACTGGTAGCATTCATTGAAAATTTGGGTCTCGTTCTTCAAGTTCCGTTGTAATGAATCTCCTCTAACAACGAGCAAAACAACAAATTGTGCAACTCACGCTTCGCTGAGTTCTTTAGATCATCTTGTGCGTATCCAATCCTCTTTCCCAAATGCAGAATACATCCCTTCTCTGTATTCTGCAAATCCAATAAATACATTGATTACTGATATTATTAAACAAACAAACAAACAACAAAAGGAATGGAGGGGAAAACCTAAAACAGAAGATAAGATGGACAAAAAGATATATTGTAGGGTATGTTCCAAGCTGGTTATGAATATTTTTAGAGTCTTAAGCTACGAAAAAGACATTAAATTCCACGTTTAACTTACATTTACCAATCGTAGTCCGTTCCTTCTCTGATTATATAAATTACTTTAACACAAAATAACAAACAAATTGAAAAGAAGATCCGTTTTCACTAGCCTTCTACCCTTTTCCAATTGCTCTCGTTTATACCCTTTTCGCCGACAATAACTCAAAGTTAAAGATTCTGTTATTTAGACTCCTTTTTCCATCTCTTCAGTCCCTAGTCGACGCTTTCTTGGAGCAATTGTTTATTTTTTTTCTAGTACTGCGATGAAGAATAAGCGTGAACGGTATGGCCTTTTAACTTATCAAAACAGTGCTTCTGGTCCATTATAGAAAGAGTGATACAATGGTTATTTCGTATCTGCGTTGACCGTTATCCAGTTCAATAAACCACCGGAATAAATGTACATGCAAATTGTTTGATTACACGACCTTGAACTTGGTTCTCCCGCGCTTATCCGTAATTTTGGCCACTGGAATTATTTTCCCTTGAACAATATAACACAGAATCCTTAATAATTTGTCGCGAACGAAAAGGAATTTGAGCGCATCTTCGAGTTCTACGAGTCTTCAGTTTTATTCCTGCAATATTGAAAATGAGAAATGTCCGAAGCAATCAGCTAATTCTCTCCAACAAACCAAAACAATTAAATACAATACTATCAATACAAAACAAGTTCATTGCGTTGTACGCCTGGCTATTCAGGTGAGACATTACATAATAAAACGACACACCAGCTAATCGAAGGGTATTCCACATAAAAATTAAATTTAAAATTAATACCATAACATATGAACAAAACTTTTAAGAAGTGTAACTCAGGATCATAAAATATAATCTCAAATAATTCTACGTTATGCTAAAAAGTAAAGACGATAATCATATGTGCTAACATTAATATAAAAATAAGCAAAACGTTAGGTTAAAAGCCCAAAAGGTTAATTTTCTTCATATTGTTTTTAAAGGCCTTAAAAGTTCCAACAATTCTGTGTGACTCTGGTAGCAGACTCCACAGCCTTGGCGCTAGGTAACGCCACGATTTCAGTCCGTAAGCTGTGGTGTTGACCTTAAACAGTTTTAGAATGTCGGCTCCCTCCAGATCGCACTTAGTGTTTACTAAAATCTGGTAACGTTGTTATGCTTATACAAGCATAATCGTGATTAATAGCTTTAAAAACCGTACGAGCTATTTTTGCGAGTCTTTGATTAACGGTGAATATACTTGCCTGTTAGTTACCGAAAATAGATTTGCATACAGCGCGAGGGCACAAGGGATTGCAAAACAGAGAAGGAAAATACAAACCCAACTGAAAGACGACATAAACTTTAATGAAGGTAACATCCAAAGAAATCGATATTATCAACATTTAAGAAAAATTTTGTGGGAACGTTGAGGTTCTAGAATGCCAAGACGTTTTAATAGTCTTGAAAATATTGATCAGGAGACAGGTTTTAGCTGGACTATCGCATAATCGAGCAAACGGTTCATTCTCTCACCTCGCTTATTTCCTGCAAAATCATCCTGAACAAGTTTGAGGAAACATAAGTCTTGAAAATTCTTTTTGGAGCAAGTATGTGCGCGGGAACTGGCAGAATATGTCGAGTTTCCGTTGGAAGAAACGTATTACTGTAACTCCACGGAGCACATGTCACACTGACCGAAGGTGTGGGACAATCATGAATGCATAATTAATTTGTCTATTATTTTGATCTCACCAGTCACCCTTGAATACATTTTCCACAACAATTCCCGAGTTATTCATATTTTTCCTATCTGTTTCTTGGTGGGATAATACTTGAAATTGAAGGAAGGAGCTAGAGGTCAATTTTTGAAGGATACTTTTTCTTGTTCTTATCAAAAATATTTAACATACAGAAGAAAGCATATTCTGAGCGTAGTGGCCGCCAGCCAAGTTTTGAACTTTACAACACTGCTTAACTTGTCAACGTATCCATCCTCGATAACGGCTTCTACCAAGAAACCAACTTCAAAAAAATAGATTCCGTGACATGTTAACTGGGAAGTTCACCTTCAACTTCCCTTGTCAATACAGTTTTATTACATTCAATCATTTCTTCTAATCATTAACATTACTTAATTGACTCTATGTAAATATTTGCCACGAATTAGATCAAAACAAGTCCAACTTAGGTCAACAACTGAAGTCTGCTTAGTCTATTTGTATCTTAATACATATAACAAAATGCCTGATGAAGCTAAAATTAAATTTAAAAAAATGGTGGAAATCAAAATTGTTACGACGTTTTGGATTCGTCAAATATACTCTCATAGCTCAGAGATACTTAGTATTAGTTTCACCAAGGTTTATCTACTTTTCTACATTTTTAGCCTAATGTCTCAAAGCACACTACTCTAATGAGATTCTATTTACATCGACGCATAATCGTTTCACTTGAGTCGATTCGTTCCTGTACTTAGTAGGTTTAACAATTCGATAGTGGTTTAGCTTGGTCTACACTCTTATCGACAACGACATTCGTCATCACAGTGGTCAAAAAAACTGCGACATTGCAGCCAATTGTGGTAAAATACTCGATTTATACAAATTGCGAAAAACTAGAAGACACATCTCAGGTTTTATGCATTGGAAAATTAAAAACTGAGCATCGTTTGGTACAGAGAAATACGCAGTATACCGGTTAATTTTTAGTGAGAAGAAATTATTACCATCGGTTGAAATTTGTACAATAAAACTTTCCCTTGAAGCTATACTACTGTCTCCCTTAAATACAGCAACCTTTGGTTAGAGCTGGCCTGATTAGATTGTTTACTGCTCGTCAGTGAGAGGAAATTTGTTTTTGCCGAAACATAAATAGGAACGTTTAATTTTGACCTACAACCCATATACAGAACTCTCTTAAACCCACGACGAAAATTTTCATTGAACACAACGTAGATAATTGGGTTAATAGCCCCGTTGGCTCTTATCAAAAATTCGCAGGCAAAGAAGAATTCAAAAGGAAATTCAGCGTCGCCGAAATAAACAGAAAATGTGGATATTTGTAGTGGCAACCAACATAGTATAAAACACACAAGGATAAAAATGAGCATTCGAACCACTTTGCGTCTTCCTGACACAATACGCTGCCGGGTGATTTCGTCAGAAATGCCGGGGATTTTACGAAACCATAAAATGTAGGACATAAGTGAGTAAAATATGAACATGGTCAGGAACGGAATCGAGTAAATTACAACAAACAATATAACAGTGTATGTTTTGGCGGCCATATCTGTGTCAAAATAGGGCGACCAGTCTTCGTAGCAGTAAGAGGTATTGTTATCTTCATGCAGTCGCATGGCGTACATCATCGGCGACATAACCAGGGCAGAACACAGCCAGATTGATGCGACGATCCATTTTAGATAAGTCTTATTCTTCAGATTTTTCAGTGGGAAAACAATGGCGAAGAAGCGATCGTAAGCGATGGCTGCCAGTGTCAATACGGAGCTAGCAATCATACCGAACCCCATCGCGTTTACAAATTTGCAAATGAATGTTCCCCAAGAACCGCGAAAAGGGAAGGGGCGTTCAAGAATGCCGGCGATAAAAGGCTCAATGGCAACGGCTGTGTAGAGCAAATCGCTGATACTCATGTTTACGATGAGAAAATAGGTGTTGGCATGCAATTTTTTGGTGGTAAAAACCACAAAGATGACGATGGTGTTGCCGACTAGGGACAGCACTGCAACCAGGACAGCCAAGACAGCCTTGAAGATTGCCAAAGAGCTAACGACTCCACTCGTTGACATGAAATTATTTTTTTCCGTAGAATCAATCGATAAGCTCTGAGAAATCGTAGAATTATTCATCCTGTCCATCTGTTAATTCAGCAATCCCTCTCTGTCTTGAATCGAAAATAGTTGTAATGTTCGGGAACGGTTAACAACTGGAAACGGTGCTTCGATGAATCGATAGACTCGAATCAACCCTTAGTTTTGCGGTCTGCTAATCTTGAAGCATTGATAAAAATGATTGCATGCAAATTATCTCAACCTGCGTTGCAATTAAGTTTTCCAGGTATACAATACTTTAAGTGTGATGCAACCCTCCCCTTCATGCGAGTAAACGTCGTTATTTCCCACAAAATTTCCCTGATGGAAGATAATAACATTTTTGACTATCGTCAATCGTACTTTCCCTGTTGCCGTCACTGTTTCTTATTCTGCATGTGGTTCTATAATCACAGAACGAAAACTTAAATAAAAAAAGAAGAAAAAAGCACCGTAGGAAAAAAGACATAAGTTGCCTCGTCGGTACAATTGCATTTGATGTTTATAATTATTCTGTATATCCATTATAAAGTAATCTCATAGCTTTTATCTATTCACACATTGTTCAACAGAGGTCTACTACTCGGCGCAAAAAATTACTGCAGGTTTAAATGATTTAAGTGATCGATTTGGCTCTAAAGAACACCTCTCTCCCATGATAAAAATAAAGAAGCCTTTCCTGCAGTTTGCAACAAGACAATGCAAAATATCGTGGGTGGTTTTCTTGCTAAAAGATAATTATTACAAACGCCATCAACTGTCGAGATTTTCCCTAAATATCTTCGATTTTATGGAAAAAAATTGAAAAGAATTTAATTTATATGCAGCATTTATAGGCTTTTAAGCGAGAAAAAAAGGTTATATTCAATACAGTTTTTTCGCGATTTTAAAGGTTTCCATTTATCTAGAGCATACAATGTAGATGCAAATCATTAACATTAAAATTGTCTGGAGTTTATTTTCAAGATTTTGAAGTGCTTTCATGTAAATTCGCTTAAGCCTTCTGATGTCCTGTAGCACTCAAGAATCAGTACGTACAAGAATACAAGTGGGGTAAGACAAGGAACTCACCGCGAATGACCGTTGCCTTAAATGACATCCTCATCCTTCTGATCTCGACGACTGTGGATCCGACGACTTATCCCTGGATCAGTCAGCTAATCACTTGAAATTCATTCAACGATGAGCAGTCTGCACGAAACACATGCAAACTGCAAAGGAAATATTTTGGCAAAATACAGATAAAAGTGACTAAAATGACGATCATGCTGATTAAAATATTATGCAATCAAAACGCTCCTCAAAGGAGGATTCGAAAGTGGTGAACTTTGCTCGTTTTATGAAGCAAAATATAGAAATTATTTATAAACAGTTTTGCGCGAATGCTGCGAGCGGACAGATATATCTTGTGGCATTTTGAGGAAAAGCTCTCCGATTGGTTAACATCCTTCAAAAACAAATCATTTCAAGATCTGAACATTAACATTATTTGAAAAGATAGGAAAGTCAAAGACTAAAAACAATCTTGGACAGTGCTGCTCAAAGGTCACATTCTACATCTTCTACTGCAGAGTTTATTCTAAAGCGTGGCTCCGCGGGATTTGCAAACCAAAAGAAATGCCGCTTAAAACTTTCGTGTACTTGTCAAACGGGGCGTAAAAGTTTTGCCCAAGGATAAATACAATTTCGAAGTACTATTTAATTGAAACACAAGAACATAACAAACAACATCATTGATATGACACCTGCTATATGATACTCCTTTGAACTTTCAAGCCTCTGACCCCCAATTGCCTTCTCTTCGTCGGTTTTACACGGACAAGACCACACACATATGTCCAAACACCTTTTGGGGTACCCCCTCTCTAAGGCCCCCTTTCTTTTAACAGGGCCCCCCTAAACTAAATAAAGGAGCCTATAGGGCCCTTTTTGACTAATTTCTGAAACAAACCCTGCCATTGATTGTTATCATTCACAACGATCACAAAACATTCGAGTGAAAAACTCAGTAGGTAGCGACCTTAGGGCGAGTCAGTATTCTTGCGAGATCATGTACTTAAGAATTTAGATGACCATTTTATTTCAGTGATGAAAAGTACAGCGAGTTAAAACATTTTACCTTGAAATCGTGACTAAATCTCATCTCAAAACTGACAAAGAAGTGATGATGGTTGATAAAAAAAACATGTAATGTAAACGAAATACTTGGCACCAAGCTCCTCTATTAGTTCCAAGAATCTCGCATAAAGAAGCTACAGAACTCGCACGCAAACAGAAAACAGTCAGTTTCAATGTGTCCAATCATATAATATACACTGATAAAATAGTCATTCAAAGATTTGATAAAACAATGGTCGATTCATCATTTGAATTGAAGAGCAGCGTCATGGATTCGTGTACACTTCCTGAACAACATTCGCTTTAGGCCAAAATAATTCGCAGTTGTTTTTCATGCATTGAAGGATTTCCTTTGCTTTCTTTTCTCCAGAGAAGTAGGAGCCTTGTGCAAATCCCCACCAATCGGGATCAACTGCGTCTCCAGCGAAATAAAGCTTGCCCAACTTTCCTCCCAAGTTATGAAAGTCTGCAGCAGTAGTTCCAACCTCGGCGTTTGCATACGATCCACGGACAAAAGGGTTTTGGGACCATTTACTGTAGAATATACCTAAGATTCATTGAAAAGCGTAGGAATGAAACCACGTTAAAAAGGCGGTAACAAGCATCCTATACATCATCATATTGCAAGTTCGAAACGCCTCTGCCCAAGATCAGCGAGAAAATTCGCTCGTGTTGCGAAGCTCGATCCTCGAAACTCGATTCTGATTATTCGCTTCTCGAAAGTGGATCGTCAAAAACTTGACTCTCGATCTTCAAAAAACGAAATTTCACTCCCTCCTCGATTCTAGAAAGTCTCAAGAATCAAGGATTGAATTCTTAATGGAGACTTAGTTAACCTGGCTTTGACCGTGTCAAGTGTAACCTTTTATTTTCTGAGCAAAGTTAACGTTCAACTTTAAGTTATAAATATATACTACTCTACCTTCAGCCTCTGGGATATTGGCGCCATAAACCTTCTTCAGCTCTGTCATGATTTCTTTCAGCGTCTCCGATTCCGGCTGACTCTCCACTTTGAGGCTCATCTCACCAGTGACAGTCACGTGCAGGATGGCTGAGCCTGGCAAAATGTCACGTGCCTCGATGTCCATCCATATTGGGTAGTACCCCCTAACACGGTGAGCATACAAGATGAATTCATGGCTGTCCCAGAACTTAAAGGGAAACTTAATGAAAATTTTCGTGTAGTGCGCCAATGGAATCTTGTTAATGGCTTCAATTTTCCACTGAGGAAGTTTAGGTGAGAAGGCGACGGAATCACTTGACAGCACACCTGTGCTGAACGTGCACAGTCCATAGCTTCCAAAGTATGTCTCCCCATCCACGGTACTAACTCTAACACCATAGCGGTTGTAAAAAACAGACTTAACTACCTTGTTCAAAAGGATTTTGTCTTTAAAATCATCTGCCATGTTTAGAAAGATACTTCCATATCCTCGAGGATCAGCAACAAAGAAGTCGACTGAGCGAGATCCAAAGCCCGTCAATGATTCCATCTTTGGTTTTTCAGCGAACTCGAAGTCCAGGACGGAGTATTCAATAACCCTCTTAGCTGGAGTGTCAGGTCTCCAACCAACACTCGATAGTGCGGCCCTTACGGACATATCTGGTCGCTGATCGTTAGATCTTTCTCTTGATAATTCTTCGAGCTTCTCTTCGGCCTCAGCAAACTGCTTCAGTAAGTGACGGTCTGTGATGTCTCGCCCTCGTTCGTCTCT